TGGTTCAGTGATTCTATATATATATATATATATATATGTATATATATATATATTATAACTCTCTTCTGTTTTGTTGATTTGGTTGTTGCCAAGTTTTGATTCTGCAATGCGATAGTATTGCTCTGTTTCAGTGATTGATAATCTAACAGAGCTTGTTTTGCTAACAGAGCTTGATTAAGATAGCCAAGATTCCTCAACCCTAGGTCTCTCCAAGGAAGAGGTAAACAAATCTTATTTCAATTCTGCCAACAAAAACCTTTACTACCATACGAACCGCAAAAAACCTTCTGGATAATTGAAGATAACTTGTCTAAAACATACTTAGGAATCTTAAAAAAAGAGAAAAAGCAAATGGGAATAGACTGAGGAACATATTGAGCCAGAGTACACTGGCCTGCCATATTAAGAAGACCACATTTCCAGTGCTGAAACGTTTTATGAATTTTTTTGATCAAGGCCCTAAATACCTCATATTTTTTAGTGGTATTGAAATCCAAATTTGCCCCCAAGTAGAGGCTAGGCTTACTCACACGATGAATATTTAAAATATTATCCAGAAAATGTCGATGCTGGAATTTAAAATTAGGACTTACAAACAGCTCAGACTTTTGAAAATTAATCTTTAATCCTGACGCATCACAAAAATATTATAAAAACCGATGAAGACACCAAACCTCCTCTGGACAAAACTCCATAAAAATGAAAATATCATCAATGAAAAGAAGATGTAAGACTGGAGGTGAATTCCGACTGATTGAAATTCCTCAGCAAATATTATTTGAACCCAAGATGTAAGACTGGAGGCTCGGGAGCTTTAAGTTTTCCCATTTGAAAAAGGGAGTTAGTGATCTCAAAACCAATAAAAGGCTTATCTAGCAAAGATTTATGTGTAACAGAAAGATGGAATTTGACAGCATTCAACACATTAAAATTAACAGAATCACCAGAATGAAAACATTGGTCCAGAGTTGAGGTTGATGCAATATTAGCATTGAATAGAGTGGTAAAATGTTGGACAAACTGGTGTAGAATTTGTTCCTAATCCGTGATAATAGATCCATCCTCAAGCTGTAGACAAGCAATTCTATTTCGTTGTTTCCGCCATGTTACCATCCTATGAAAAAATTTATAATTTCGATCTCCATTAGCAAGCCATTGCTGCTTCGACCTCTGGGCCCAATATAATTCTTGTTTATTCAGCAAATCATCCAACTTACCCCTTAATTCCCAATCATATTTGACATCACCTTTCTTGAAGGAGAAAAGCAATCTCTTCACCAAGACTAAGGTAATTATGGACTCTTTCAGTTGATGTCAGTGTAATTTAGTGTAAATTTAGTAACTTCAGCCTTTCATTACATCTTAGCAGAGTGAAAATTGCTTAATAAATCCAATTAAATTTATGTGTGTGTTTTAAAAGCGAGGACCGTTGATCTCCATTGAGTATGAAATATCATCTAATTGGTTGGTAACTATGTCAAGTTGCAGAATAGAATTAGCTTCATTAATTTGTTTGTCTATTTTCTTCATGGTTGAGTTAATGAATATTTTTTTCTCACTCATACTTCTGTGTTTTGTTTAATTTTCTTAATTGTTGTTGCTTATTATGAAAAGATTATTTTTAATAGGCCCGTAAGGACGCCACCCTAGTGGTTGCAAATCTGCAGAGACAGCAGGTTTATTCACATATTTTTAGTGTTTTATTTTATTTTATTTATTTTACCTTAACTTTGTAACACACATGCTGTTACAACTATTCGGAAAACATTGGCAGAAATTGATGAGCAAGCGGAGCTTCTACCTGATGGAACCCTTCTCGTGTACGTAGCTTTGTGGCTTAAAATATTTCATTTTTTTTTTGTTTTGGGTTCTAAATTTGTTGGATTACAATGTGATGTTTTTATTTGTAAGTTATTACTTTAACCAGTTGAAAGCCTTTGCTCCTGCAGTGGTGGTCAAGCAATTGCAGTCATCTATTTCAGAGCTGGGTATGCACCAACTGATTATCCCTCAGAATCAGTGAGTAGATTCACTTTTGCAGAATCAAGTTTTTTGTCATAAAACTAAAGCATCAGCATAACAAAAGTTTAATCTACAAACAGAATGAGTACTGCATTCTTCCGAAGCTACCAGCCAAATTACTTTCGAACTTTGCATTGATCGATATCTGGATAAATTAACAATTCCATGAATTGGAGTGATGTGATGATAAGTTTCTGCCAGTTGTTGTCTCTCCCTAGGAAATAATAGCAAGCTTAGGCTCATTTGTTGAAGAGGCTAATGCTGCTGATCTAATACAGCGCAGACAGCGTTCTGAGTTTCAGTGTAAGTACTCCAAACTGTTGGTGTCATTTTTGTTTTCTATTCTTTGTTTTCATTTTTCAAAAAACACAGAAAACTTGTTAGGTAAAGTGTTTCCAGAAAAAAAGTTCTGAAAGCAACCCAGTTTTAGGAAAGCACCAAATAGTTGTTTTCAAATTTTAGAAAAATTTTGGAAGTGATGGATGACTTTGAACTTTTCATTGCTTTTGTTTCTGAAAACATGAAAAATGAAAATGATACCAAATAGTTATGTACATTTAACATTGACGGTGTCTATTGAATTAACATATTTTCTTTGACAGCAAGTGTGAAGGGGACCCTTTTTACAGCTATAAAGGTAAATCCCGCCATCATGCTTAATGAAATTGATCTTAATGTAATGCATATTTAGACCTGATTTTACAGATTTAAAACCTACAATGCTTCATTGATTCTTGATGTGCCGATTTCAGGCAAACCCAGATCTTGTTCCATCCTTATTGACTTTGGCGATGAATGATGCTATGACTTATGATAAGGTGAGAAAGAGTTTTACTTGTTGACAGTTTGAGATGAAAGTAGAAATTTATATTATTCCTAAACATTACATATCAAGAAAGCTCATATGATTCTAATTGAGTTTTGCAGGCCACAAAATCTGGTGGCCCAAATGGATCTGTACGTTTCAGGTACTTCTAACATATAGCATTACCACGCATAAGTATGTAGTATTAAAGAATAAAGTAAAAGAATGAAATTCTGCATTCTATCAAAAATTAGGATTGGTATTTCATGTACAGTGAAGATTTTCACCAAACCAAAGATGATTCATCTATTATGTTTTGTTCGGGCTTATTTTTTAGGGATTTTAATGCCAATTCACAAAATGACCCTATTATTTCAGTGTCGATGATAAGCAGATGTATTAAATGTGGTAAAAAAAGGTTATGGAATATGAAAATTATGTTAAATTGTCAAAATTGTATTGAGGTTTTGGATCCTGGATTTAGTTGGTTTAGGCATCAGAGTTTCCTTTTATTTGCGTCTTTTGGCTGAACTGTTTTCACTCCTTGCTTCTTATTTTTTCGGTTAGAAGTTTTTAAGTCAATGCTGAAATGTTACCTTGATGTTTTTTTTATTATTTTTTTCTTGTCAATTATATTTTCTTGCTTGAAGCTCAGAGATTAGCAGACCAGAGAATAAGGGGCTCTCCGCCGCAATGAATTTATTAGAGGAAGCAAAGAAGGAAATAGATTCATATTCCAAGGGTGGTCCTATTTCATTTGCTGATCTCATCCAATTTGCAGGTTGCATGTCATACTTATCACCAAGTTTGTCCTGTACACTACCTACATGGCCATTAACTTGCTCAGATACTCTGGAATCAGTCATCGTATTTATGTGGAGTGTACTCTATAAATCATTTGTTTTTACCAATATGTTCATCATCAAATTTATGGTAGATGAATAGACTATAGTGTGTGCACAATTGCACATGGAGTCTCTGTGTATTTATGTGGAGTCTCTGTGTATACACATTTCATATGTGGTATCCATTATGCTTTACCTCGCTTAACTCAAATTATCAAATTTGCTACGAACACAGAAACTGGTCAAAGAATTTACATGATTTGTTAATGAGATCCACTTTTGAAAAACTATATTCGGCCATATATATTTTGTGTCCAATTTTGTGATCAGTTATTTCAAAATTATTAGGGGACGTGGATGTAATGGATACAATTGCTTTTTGTAACTACAGTGGGGCTTGTTTGACAAGCAATTTGGGAGGTCAGATGCTCAAGAGCCAGGTCCAGAAGGGAGGGTTCCCCTGTGGGTGAAAGCAAAGTGTTCAGGAAATGAAAGATAAGTTCTCGGCCATAGGCTTTGGTCCCCGCCAGGTATTTCAATTATCATGACATCAACTGGCAGAAACTTATCATCACATCACTCCAGCTCATGGAATTGTTAATTTATCCAGTTATCGATCTATGAAGAAATACACTCATTTAAATTCTCATCCTCTTCTTTTACACTCTTTATTTATGTGTTTTTCCTTTCCATTTATTTGGTAAGTAAGCATTTCGTTGATGCTAAATCTGGATTTTCCTATAACACTTGAATATTATCATTGGAGTCACTTAGCTCTATTGTTACATGATATATCTAAGGCTTTCATATGTGTTGTCTTTATGTAGTCAATAAGTGTTGAACAGGAAAAATGGGTTTAGGCGGCAATATGGTTTACTAGGTATAAAAGTGGGGTTCTTGGATCAAAGCCGATCAACATGGTTGAAACCAGATGATATTCTGTATTTATTATGTTTTTCTGCTTTGTTACCGTTCATGTTTGATTCAAATTCATGATCACGTAATTCATTCTCATATTCAATGATAAGCTTGGGACAGGTGGATGTGCCTGTTTATGCAGCAGGAACTGGTGTTAAACCTGCAGAAATAGCTAGGCAAGGTCTAGAAGAGGCCAAAAGGAAGAATATGGATGTGGTCATAGTGGACACAGCTGGAAGACTTCAGGTTATATCAGCTATCTATTTGGGGCTACTTTTAATAAGATCTGTTTTTTTAATAAAATAATAATAATTATTATATATGTACTTTTCAACCTTATTTTAACTGATCTATCTTCTTTTTTATATGTGCATGTGTTTGACCCTGAAATGCTGCACCAGTTTTACCACCCTAAGGGATATGAGTTAACCATTGGGGTAGAAAGTTCTGTCGTCTTCTTCTTCGAGGACTGTTTTCATGTCAACTTTTTCCCCTTACAAACACACATTAATGTGTACTAATTGGACGTTATTTTTTTTTACTGTTTTCATGTCAACTGAGAGAATTAAATAATCAATGATATCTTCTAGGATAATGTAAAGCTCCTCACTCATTTGTATTTATTTCTTTTGAAGGTTTGGTAGAGGGAACTAGAAGCTCATCTTAAATTCAGATCGTGACATATTTGAAGAGAGAACCGAGGTGAGAATTTTTTATGGTTGTGCCTTTTTTCTGCTTTAATATTATTTTTCTTTATGTTAACATAAGGGCTTCTTTTGTTTAGGTTGATTTGAAGGACAAGTGGAGAAATATGATACATTACTGACTCTTAAAAAAAGAAGATGGTCTGCAGTTTGTATTATAGGAGGGTTCTTGCATGTTGATTGATTCTTCATAGTTTTCTACTCTACTTGATGGGTCTTCAAAAAGGAAAAAGAAAATATTGATTGCTTGAATACAATGTTGGTGCATCAGATTTCTTCTTTTTCTTCTTCTCCTATTATTATTTATTTATAATTTTTTTTTTGAACTTTATACCAAATGTGTTATGTGATGGATAGATGAGAGTGTAATCATGTTACTAATCGGTATAATAACGTGTCAAGAGCCTCATTATTTTATTTTTAATTTTGTTTTCAAACTTAGTTTATTTTTTATTTTAATAAACATCAATTATTAGTTCTTAATAATTGTTTATGACAGGTTTTTTTTCAACCATATAAAATTAGCACAACGTTAAAAATAAAAAAAATAAAAATAAAGTCTATGGCGGCGTTTTTTGAACGTCACTATATCCCCACTCCAACGGTTAGATTTTTAAAATGTATAAATGTCTTTAACGGCGTTTTCAAAACGTCGTTAAATGTCATAGTGACGTCACAGTACAATTAGGTAGGATTTTTGGCGGCGTTTTTAAAAACGCCTCCTATAATAATATAACGACGTTTTTCAAACGCCATAAAGCTATAGCGACGGCCGCGTCGTCGGCGTTTGGTACTAAACGTCACAAAAAGAATTAGCGACGTTTTTAGTCAAAATCTAATTCTAACATAATAAAATTAAAAAACCTAATAATTCTAAAATATTTATACTAAATTACAAAAATTCTAATAATATATCAAAAATATTAAAACTTAAAAATATAATTTTTTTTAAAATCTTGTCCTACATCAGACTCCTCTTCTTTGAAAGAACTCGTCCTCGAGTTCATATTAGAGATCTGTCATCGTCCATCCCAAATAAAAAGATACTTGGAATACTTCAATTGTTTGTCCCTCTTCCGAACATTATATGCAGAGAAGTCTACTTTCTGAAAGTTATTCTCTATATGCTTCAACTGGTTGACAAGATCAATTAGACAAGTATTGAAAATCAAATTAAATTTCTCAACACCAAGAAAATCAACGAAGGGTATCTTATGTTGATGTTGGATACTCTCTAGACTTTGCTCTGTCTTAGATTCAGTTGGACATTCAATTATCATCTTTCGAACATCAATTGCATCCTCAATCAACTTCTCTGGTGCACATGTCAACTTTATTACCTCATCTTTTATTTCTTCTTTTTCATTGAGTTCCACTATATCTCCTTCTTTTGCGATCTCATAGCCATCATAATAATCAAGAGATGATGGTTCCGTCATTAAAAGCTCTTGGTTACCTTCAACGTTTTTCTCTTGCTTCACCTTTTCATCGTCTTTTCAAACTTCTTGATCAAAGTAATTTCAGTGACCTCTCTTTTATCAATTTCAATGTTCTCACCATTGTTGCAATCAACTTGATTATCTACTTCAATTAAATGTTTGTTTGGGTCTTCAAAATTTTGAAACATTGTGATACTCAAAATCTTTTCTTCTTCAATGTGTGGTTGAGCGTGACAAATTTGTTGACCTATAAGCCTTGATTGACCCAAACCTGGCAGAGCCATAGTCATGTTTCTTGAATAATCTGTATCCACAATTCCATAATAATTATTGAATTGCGAAGAATATTGTGAATCAAAATTACCTTGGAACAATTGTTTTGATTCAAGCTTTCTTTGATATTGTAGATACAATATTTGCCCATGATTTGTTTGAAGGAATCTAGAACTTATCAACTTCCTCATCTTACGCCACGTCCTAATAGGTTGTTTGTATTATCGCCTTCGATCATATTGCAATTGCTTCCACCATGTAGAAACATAACCATGTAACTTACGTGCGACATATTTGGCTTGCTTTTCTTCGGAGATTTCCATACACTCAAGAAATTTGTCAACTTTGCGAAACCAATAAATAAAATCGTCGGCATGACAAGAAGCATTAAAATAGGGAATTTTTTGTGGTACTTGATAATCTGAAAAGTCATGATTGATGCTATTATTGCTATTGAACACATCGCTGAATCTTTGTTGTCGCCATACCAACTGGTATTCACCATAATCCTCGAATAGCTCATCTTTAGATTCGTCATCTTCAGATTCGTCATCACTATCGGAGATTTCCATACACTCAAGGAATTTGTCAACTTTGCGAAACCAATAAATAGAATCGTCGGCATGACAAGAAGCATTAAAATTGGGAATTTCTAGTGGTACTTGATAATCTGAAAAGTCATGATTGATGCTATTATTGCTATTGAACACATCACTGAATCTTTGTTGTCGCCTTACCAACTGGTATTCACCATAATCCTCGAATAGCTCATCTTCAGATTTGTCATCACTATCATATTGATAACAAGAAGATCGTTTCAAGACATTGTGATTAATAGGCTGGCCTTAGGCAATTCCCATAGTGCGGTTCCTATTAACGTTGTGACTAATAGGTTGGCCTTGGACAAGTCCCTTGATTCGAATTCTATTAGATCTTTTTCTACGATTATCGTCAATAGAGCTTGTGCTTCCTCTTTCGATAAATGACATCGAGCCAGGCAAAACCTTGCTCTGATACCACTTGACGCAGCGGAATACGCGGGGACTAGATATCTTTCTAGTAGACGAAAGGGTTTCTCGAATCCACAAGAAAAATATAACCTTGAATCCACAAGGAAGAGAAATATTATTGAATGAATGAATAAAAGTTGTCTTGGCGGCTTACATAGCTATTTATAATAAACTAAACCTAATACTTATAGAAAAAATAATTCTAAAAGTAGGAAACTTAAATCATCACAAATTAGGAAACCTAAGAGAATAGGAAACTAAAATTCTAAACTATTTAAAATCCTAGTCAAAATCTAATTCCAACATAATAAAATTAAAAAACCTAATAATTCTAAAATATTTATACTAAGGCTAAGTTTGGGAAGACTAAAAAAGTGCACTTTTTGTCTTTTTGGACTAAAAAATTGAGGTTGAAAATATAGATGTTTGGATTAACTTTTTGACTTTTTATTGAAAAATGTGTAATAAAAAATTGTAAAAATTGATTTGTAGGAAAAAATTCGAATTTGTAGGGAAAAATTTGAATTGGGAGTTGTGCAGCCGTAATTGTTGACTTTTGATGAATAGTGTTAACTTTTTAACTTTTTGAGTAACTTTTTGGTTTTTTGACTTTTTGGGAAGTACCCAAACTTGGCCTAAATTACAAAAATCCTAATAATATATCAAAAATATTAAAACTTAAAAATATAAAATTTTTTAAAATCTTCTCCTGAAAATCTTGTCCTACATCATTATTACTCATTCATGAACTATCAAACGCTTCTTATGGATTCCGTAAATTAACAAGAGTTAGAAAGATAACAACATATATTACAACATTATTTTTACATCTTGCTTGGCTGAGGATTCTGTGTCACTTACTCTCAATTTATTAGCTCATAAATACAGACTGGGCATTTCTTACATCAACTCACAAAATACAACAAACAAGTGGCAACTAAGGAAGGATAGAGGATGAGATGAAGGGTAATTATTCAATAATTCCGAAATATAGATACATGTTATTTTATAGCACTGTGATTGGTGGAGCAGGGTAGGTGAGGTATTGTATTGGGTGATTAGGAAACATGAGAAAGCATATTAAATAATAATTTATTAAAGAGTACAAACACATGGTACTCCGGAAACATTGAATAATTTTCCTAAGATGAAAGCTACAATCTTCAAACAACAATTTTCTTAGTCCTCTGTTTAACACACCTTGCTAATTATAAGTCTGAGAGGACATTAATCATTGTTTCCCGTGCTCTACACATCGCCTCTAATGGCTTAGCTTTAGGCATGGTCAGTCCTGGCCCTTCAGACATGTCCACCAACTCTTCCCCAATCCTCTCCCACTCAAAGCACTGAATCAATGCCGCCAAAGACAACCCCACCACCAGATTGGCGAGGCCAGCCCCGGGGCATCTTCTCCTGCCCAGCCCAAACGGTATCAACTTATACCCCTCATTGCTTTCCCCGTCTTCATACCGCTCTGGCTTGAAACTTGTAGGATCATCCCATACCTTGGCGTCTCTGTGAATGGCCCATGCGTTCACCAACAACATCGTGTTGGCAGGCACGTGAAACCCTCCGATGGTGCACTCATCGAAAGATTGGTGTGGCACTAGAAGTGGTGCCGCTGGATACAGTCGAAGGGTCTCATTGATGATGCCTTGAAGGTATGCTAAATTAGAGAGATCTGGTTCGTCTGCCAAACGGTCATTACTAATGTTCTCATCAAGCTCTGCTCTGGCTTTCTTTAACACCTCTGGATGGTTGAGTAAGAGAGACATTGCCCACTCAATTGTCACTGATGAAGTGTCTGTGCCCGCACTTAGCATGGTCTGCACACATTGATCAAGATTAAGAATATAATTTATGATTTGAAGCTCAGATCAGTTTTGCTTGTGAAGATTCTCTAAATTTGTGTAACAATTTCCTGCAGATTCAAATGGCCTAGCCAGGTAGATTACTAATTTTCACTGCCATAGAAGTAAACTAGCAGTTAAATCAGGATCCAAAATTACTCATACCATATCATGGTTAGTTACAGAAGGTGCTCTGCCCCAACACTACTACTATCATCATTCTTTGGTTGCTTAAAGGTGCAAAAATCCTTTGTCCCAAAAGAAGAAATACAAGCAAAGAAACTACTAAACAAAACCAAAATAAGAAACAAAGTGGAGGCAGAGGAGGATTGCATAACAAATTTAGAAAGAACCAAAAAAAAAAAGGCATGTGAGGGGCCCACAAATAATTATGATATAATTAAAACTGTAATATCAAGAAAAATATGCTATATCTTAAAGATTCACATACCAGTATAATTCCTTTGATTATGTCATCAGAGTAGTATTCAGGCTCTGATGCTTGCAATTCCAGCATATTGTCGATCATCGTCTTAGTCCCTCCAATTGAATCAGAACCCTTATTTCCATTTCGACGCTCATCAATCAAACCCTGCAAAAAAACATCCATCTTCTTCTGCACAGCTAACATCTTCTTCTCCAAATTCCCAAAATCAATCCACCGCAAGAAAGCCAAAAAATCCCCCGGATTCGATGCCCCGCTTAGCTCGAAAACCTGCCTGATAATCTCCCGAAACCGCTTCGCCTCTTCAAAATCCACCACTTCATCTCCGAAATACCTCTTCCCCGTAACAATCTGCATAATGATGTTGAATGACAGTTCCGAGAGTCTAGATTTCATCTCCACTTTCGCAAAACCGTCGTCGCACTGGTTCTTGTTGTTGCGCGAAGCTAGAAACAGGTTTTTCAGCAATGATCTTACTTCTCGTTGTCTAATACTCAGAGACACGTTGAGGCACGGCGTCGAGAAGATTTCTCGGGCGGTGAGGCGGCGGAGATTGCGCCAGTGGTCACCATACGAGGCGGCGCCTAGTGTGGTGTAGTTGTAGTTGAGGTGTTTTCCGACCAGAAGCCGAGGCCGGTTTGCGAAGACGAGGTCGTTTTTGGAGAAGCATTCTTTGACTGCCGACGGTGAGGTTATGACAAGCACCGATCGGGATCCAAATCGGAGGGCGAAGATTGGGCCGTGTGTTTGATAAAGATGTTGTAGGGTTCGGTGAATTGGTTCTTTTATTAGATGGAGGTGGCCGATTATAGGGAGTGAAGGGGGGCTTGGTGGGAGGTTTTTATGCCGTGTTTGTTTTCCTAGAAAGTGATTCAACAGGAAGAGAAAAACAAAGGTGGCTATGGAAATCAAGTAAAACCAGGTTTGATCCATGAATGTTTGCTCCAATGTAAGGTCCGTAGAGACTTTAGTGCATGGTCATAACTTTATGACGACAAATTTTCCTTGCTTCCCAAGGCCATAATTTTTTATATTATAGTTTTAGTTTTAGTATGACGACAAATTTGCCTTGCTTCCCAAGGCCACTGTTAGGTTTTCAAACAGTGCATGTATATGGACTTTTATCGGAAGTCATTGATGACGGCTGCATAAAATTGACTTCAAACGTATCCCCGATCTCTGAGAAATTTTTATGTGTGTTTTGGTATTTTTTATTATTCTAATTGATTTTAATAGTATGATCTATTATATTTATGTTGATTGTTTAAGAGCATCTTCAATTTTGAATTCAAATTTTTATTAAATCTGAATAAAAAAATGACTTTTTCCTCAATTTGATACCGAGTGCTCCAACGGTGCATCAAATCCCGTGGGTCAACCGGTTAGTCGACCGGTAAGAGTAAATTTTTTTTTTAAAAAAAAAATCCTTTTGAACTGTTTGAACCCACCACTGTGAACTATGGAAGGGGCAACTGGTTGGTCGACCGGCCGATCGACCGGGGTCAACCGGTCAGCCAAATTTTTTTTTTTCCCCTCCATTTCTGTTCCTAATACTTTTTCCTATTTCTTTTTCCCTCAATTTTTCCCTCATTACATATATGTCTGGCATATGAATTATGCTCTCACATAAATCCACTATCCATATGCCAGACAACTCCACAAAACTGATACGATCATAACTTGAACAAAATAGAGCATCATGAATACCTTCAAATCCATGATATTGACTTCATTTTCATCCTCTTTTTCTTCTTCCTCTTTCTCTGATGATGAATTTGATGATGAATATATCGTCACACTTTTAGGAGCTTATGAGCAGAACAACACTAATATGCTTCAGATTCTGAAGAGTGATAGCTCAAAGAAGGTAGGTGGTTTTGTTGTAGGTCATAGGTATATACACAGAAATCGAAGGTAGGGTCGCGACAGATTGTTTGGAGATTATTTTGCTGCAAATCCTGTGTATTCGCCTACAGTATTTCAGAGACGTTTTCGAATGCATCGTTCTTTATATCTACGAATTTTGAATGCAATCTAAGCACACAATTCATATTTTCTTCAAAAACAAGATGTAGCTTATGTACTTGGATTATCTCCCCTACAAAAAATGACTTTAGCGATGAGAATATTGTCATATGGTGTTGCAGCAGATGCAGTTGATGATTACATACGTATCGGAGAAAGTACTGCAATTCAAAGTTTGCAACAATTTTGTAATTCAGTGATTGAAATATTTGCTGAAGAATATCTGAGATCTCCAACACCAACTGACATTGCTAGATTACTTACTATTGGAGAGGTTCGGGGGTTTCCTGGCATGTTGGGAAGTTTAGATTGCATGCATTGAGAGTGAAAAAATTGTCCAAAGGCATGGCAAGGTCAATATGTAGGCCATCAAAAGAAGCCAACCATTATTCTTGAAGCAGTAGCATCTTATGACTTATGGATTTGGCATGCATTTTTTGGAATGCCTGGCTCAAACAATGACTTGAATGTGTTGGACTGATTGCCTTTGTTTTCTGATCTTGCGCAAAGCAGAGCTCCCTCTGTCCATTACACGATTAACGGACATAATTACGATATGGGTTATTACCTTGCTGATGGTATATACCCTCAATGGGCAACACTGGTTCAAACATTTTCTTCTCCCCAATGAGCAAAGAGACAACATTTTACAATGATGCAAGAGTCTGCCAGGAAAGATGTAGAGCGGGCATTCAGAGTCCTTCAATCTCGATTCGCAATTATAGGTGGTGTTGTACGTTTTTGGGATTCGAAAATGCTTGCCAACATAATGAAGACTTGTATTATTTTACATAATATGATTGTTGAAGATGAGAGGGAGGAGCACCTTGACTTCAATTATGAAATTTCATCAACCAACACACCAGTGCAACTTTCCTCTACTCCTATGAATGACTTCCAAACATTTTTGTTTAGGTATTAGAGATAAGGATGCATACACTCACTCACACTTGGCTTCTCACTACCTATCACACACACTCACACACAGAACAAGATGATGATTTAAATTACACCACCAAATAAATTTCAAACACTGAGGATTATTATTGTCATGTTAATTTGAGTACAAATTGGCAAGGGATTTACAAAAACAAAAGTTGAATTTTAGTACAAATTGGCAAGGGATTGGCAAGGGATTATTATTGTCATGTTAATTTGAGTACAATTTCAGACCTGATTTAATCTCATCATATGTAATTATGCACTTCAGTATGCAGTTTAGTTTATTGAACATGTAATATGAAAATGCACATGTTAGTAGGCATACTACAAGTTGGTCATGTTTTTTTATTTTAATATGTATTGTAATATTAGAACTATATTCATTTCAATTCTAAGTTAATGTTTTCATAAAGAACACCAAGCCACCTGTAATTCACCTTTCATATGTAACACATATTCATTAAAATTCAACAGATATTGACATCATGCCTAGAACTAAAAGAGCGAGACCACAAGTTGGTGAAAGTTCCAACCCTCCACGACGCAAAGAACAGCAGCGTCAAAATCAGTCATATCCTACTGATGATTTTCTCAGTGAAAGTCATGCACTAGCCTTTCCAAACTTCTCCAGCCGACCGATTGTAACAGGGATGAGGGGTAAATCTGCCATCTCAATATGACGCACTATTAGTTAGTAAACTTGAAGCAATGGGGTGGCAAAATTTAATTAATTTACCCCAAAAGGTATATTCGTAGCTGGTATCTCTATTTTATGTTCACCTAAGAGGTACTCAAGAAGAAGATGAAAATTTCACTCTGTTGTCATATGTGAAAGGAAAGGGTATACAGTTTGATATTCCTACTTTGGCAAGCATTATTGGAGTTGAGTTAGGTGATGAAAATATCCATTTTCATACTAAGGCTGACTTAGCTAAAATTGTTGGTAATGCTACTAATGTATATACTAGTATTTGTTGGAACAGATTTACTGGGACTAGTTTACAAGCAAGACATCTAAAACCTTATCTTCGGATTCTTCACTGGTAGATTGTAGAAACTGTCACTCCAAAAAAAGGACATCATGATGCGATGTGATACCCCTGTTCTGTAATATGTTAATTGGTCCTTAATATGATGTAATTATGCGTTTTACTATGATTTTGTGTTCCATTATGTGAAAATATGTGGTTTTGAATTTCTATCTGTTCACCGTAGGAATATCTGTTTGATTTCTCCGCTTTGGAGATTAAATTGAGGGCCTTATCGACCACAGAACTCGAAATTGATTGCGCCATTATGATTGGCATAATTTTTAGAGCCTACGGTGGAATTTAATTAAAAATTGATTCGGGTCAAATTAAATTGATTAAATTGATGAATTAAGCGCCCAAATATTTTATAATGAAATAATGTGTTGAGTGGGGCTAAAAAGGGGCCTTATTATAATCAATTCCTCACCTTTATATCATTTTGGCTGATGCTAACTCAAGAGAGAAAGGAGAGGGTCGGCCTTAGAGAGAGAGAGGGAGAGGATTGTGTAGCTTTGGCCCAAAGCTTGGAAATCTTGAAGATTAAGTCCAAGAATTGACTAGAGTTTGGAAGATTAAGCTCCTTGGTGAGTAATTCATGTATTTTAGTTATCATCTTGTGAATTCAAGTTTGAAGGAGGGTCAAGAACATGAATTAGTTTGATCATAAGGAAATTGAGTTGAATTTGTTGTAATGAAGACCCATCTGTGCATGCATGTGTGTAATTGCTTTGAATATGGCATGTTTAAGCTCAAAGGGTATGATCCTTATAAATTTGTAGTTGAAGCTCATGTTTGGATTACCTTTTCATCATCTAAGTTGAGAGTAAGGGTTATATAGCACATGCATGTACAATTCATGAGAATATGAGCTTGAATGCATGAATTTGTTATGTTAGAATGAGTTTGATGGGAGATTGGGGCATTCATGTGATTTATTTCTGAAATTGAGCTTTATTGGGTTGTAATTTGGGGTTTATACCATGTTAGTATAATTATATTTGAGATTTGAGCCATTGCATGCAAGAAATGTTAGCTTGAAGGTCGAATTGAGCTCAAGAACACAATCTGGGAAACCCAGAATTTTGATGTCCGCTCGAGCGGGGTAATAGACACTCGAGTGGGAAAAACGTGCTCCCAGTACTTTTTACAGACTTGGTATCCGCTCGAGCGGGTTAGTTCACGCTTGAGCGAGGGAGCAACGTAGACAGGCCTTCCGCTCGAGCGCCCTATTTCACGCTCAAGCGTATTTTTCATGCAACCAGTACTTTTGCAGGCCTTAAGGGTCTGCTCGAGCGGTGGATTCCACGCTCGAGCGGGGACCCTATTTTCTGAAATTTTGTTTTTGCATTCAGTGTTTCATTTTCCGTTCTCTTTCACTTGCAAGCACTCTTAGGCATGTGTTAAGCATTGTAAATGAGTTAAAGAGATAAGAACAAGGCCTAAAGAGGAATATGTGAAATAAGGAACGGATTGAATTGTTAATAACCCTTTTGTATTCGTGAAATGTGTAGGGTCGAGCTCTAGGGCGAACCAACCAACCGATCACCGTGAGTAATATCTTATCAAGGCATCTGAAATATACTGTTGTCCAATTGCTCACTTCTAAGTAAGTTTTATAAGTTCATCGATTTAATTGGTGGACAACATTTTGGCATAAATGAATGGACCGAAGGTTGTTTTGGCATAAATGAATGGACCGAAGGTTGTTTTGGCATGAATGAATGGACCGAAGGTCGTTTTGACATAAATGAATAGACTACAGATCATTTTGACATAAATAAATGGACCAAAGGTCGTTTTGACATGAATGAGTGGACCGAAGACCGTTTTGACATGAATGAATGGGCCAGAGGCCGTTCTGTCATGAATGAAAGCTTGAATGGACCAAAGGCCAGTTTGTCACTTGAGTGGGCCAAATGCCAGTTTAACCTGAGTGATAGTTTGACATAAATAACAGTTTGACACGAATGATAGTTTGATATAAGTGATAGTTTGACAAGAATAACAGTTCGATCTGAATAATAGCATGAATGGGCCAGAGGCCGTTTTGACATGAACGAAAGTCTGAATGGGCCAAGGGCTAGTTTGTTATGGAAAGATGAATGGGCCAAAGGCCAATATGTTGGGAACCACAGTCACTTGACCTAAATTAAATATATATATATATATATATATATGTTAAATAGAAATATGAATTGGGTCTAAGGCCGTTTGGAGTATGTTGTTCTACATATCATTTGTATAACTTCTGTATTTGATATTATTCACTGGGCTATCGCTCACGCTCATTCATGTGTTGTAGGTGAGCCAAGAACAGTCCAAACCCAGCCTCAGTGAAGCCTGTCAGGAACAACAAAGGTTTTGGAGAGTCAGCCCTTGTGTCTCACGTACAAGACCCGTCTTTGCCATTTTGTTATGTATTATATTTTGTCATGTGGGCGAGGGCTTTGTGTATATCTGTATATAGTTGAGATGGGTTGACTTAGACTCGAATGATCCTGTTGTGTAGAACTTTTGGTGCTATGTTTTTGTTGTGAGTTATTAACGTGCATACGTATGGTTTGTTTTGATGTGCATGTAAGCACGGCTCTATGGACAAAGTTTAAAAATTTTGCTTCCGTTGGCCCCTATACTCTAACGAGTTACGTCTGTTTTGGTGTGAGGCTGTAGGTAATCTCAGGGTTACTGGCCGGTTATGTCTTAACCCATAGGGGCGGGTTCGAGTCATGACACGCGGTCCCATATTTTAATGCCTATTTGTTATACTGTTTTGAAGTTGGTCATAAGTTAGATTTGTGTTACATAATTATGAAAGAAATGATAATTGCAAATCAAGGTCAGTTCATGGGCCGATCATTACTGTTTGGGGCACTGTTGACCAAAATTTTCAAACATTTCAGGGTTCGGCTTGTAGATGAAACGGAGATGAAAATCAGGTCACCCATTAATTAGTATACAATGACTCGTGCTGGTGCAGCCTCCAATTTAATGGGAAGTGATAATGCTACAGACGATTCAGAAGATGAAGTCCCACCAGATGATGCTCCACAAGATCCTCCTGCCAATGTGATGCCATCAACTGAACAACCTCAATATTGGACTGAGTTTTTGGCCATAGAAGAACAACGTTATGATGAACGCGTTCAATGGGAACAGCAAATGGCTAATCAGGTCAATTCGTTGGGTACTCAGTTTGATACATTTGCCACTGCCCAGAATTCATTAATTCAACAATTTGGTGAATTCTGTGTGGATATTGAGCATCGCGTAGATACGATTGAGCATCGGGTAAATGACATATACCATCACTACTACCCTCCTCCACCACCACCACCGCATAATGACTGCTGATGTATTTCACATTATGTATTTGTTTTAGTTTCAGTATTTTGTTCTTTTAACAACCTTTTGTTGGGTCAATTTGTTAAAGAGGACGACAGTAATTAAAACCTATTCACTTATGACATTGGCCTATTGATATATATACTTCATATTGTGGTTTTTCATTTTAATGCTTATTTGACAAAGGACATTATTATGTACATTCTGAAAATGCTACAAAAAAGGTCATTAACCATTTCTGATTTTGTGGTATAAATCAAGTTATAGTACTGATTGGCATATTCATTGACATATCATTTTAAAGAAGACGAGGTTAATTAAAAAAAACGACATTGAAGTACAAGCCAAAGATCTCCCTATTCAAAAAACATGGCAACAATTAGACATTGACCTTGAAAGATGGCAAAAATACATGGCAAAAATTCATGAAACCAATAAAACTAACCAATACAAGTTAGATGTAATAATTTTAAATAATAAAACTAATGGATGAAACCCACTAATACAGAACCTTTCAAGGCAATCTACTAGTTGATCGAAATAAAATCTGTCATTGAAGATCTTCGTAGTACGCCCTTTGCATAGGATTTAAAATTGTCTTGTCCAT